ACGTTACCAAGCGTTCCCGAGCGCTCCAATCGCCCCCAACCACCCTCAAGCTCGCCGTCGTCACTAGCAGCAGCATCCACATCCTCATCTTCAGCGCCCCCGCTGCCACAGAGGCGTCAAGAAGCATATGAATCAGATCACAATGGCGCGTTCAGATTGTTGGGGAGGTCGATCTTCTGGGGAGGGATTGAAACATGACCCAAGCTCGCCCAAACATCGCCCCGAGACGGCCCAACTGCGCTCAGAAACCGCAGAGGATGCAAGACAGCATTGGCGCGATAAGAGGACAAGTCGATATTACGGAAAAAAAGGCTCAGGGCGGGGAGATTCACCCGCGCAAGCACTAGGTAACCCCAACCCATAGCCGCAAGCCCGAACCGACTACCCACACCCCTAGCCCCAACCCCCTAAGTCCTTGCTCTCATACTTATATGTATAACCCTTTTCACCAGGCTCCGGCCGGTTCCCGACCGGCCTCAAACCGACCCGGGGCCAAGACCCCAGCCGCGATCCCTTGCAACGAACTGAAACGTGGTGCACATCGGCTGACCGCGCAGTGTTTTCACATTTCCCGAAATCTGTACTGCGAGTGATGTAGCGTGGACATCTTCGGATCTTCGTACCGATTCAACCTAGACTTAGGTGGGGCATGTCCCCCTACAGGCGGAATTTGGACGAAAAATGAAAAATACTCAAGAATACTCGAGAATAGTCGAACAATACTAAAACAAATAATCCCCAGACTATTTTATGATTATTTTTGAATGTTCCCCCTGTAGAGGAACAGGCCCGACTTAAACCTAGACGATCCCTGTGCCCACACACGGATCGTGCACATCTCAATTACGGCCCCCACGCAAGCCGACGCAACGAAAAAATGCACGCGGTGCACATCGGCTCCTCCGAGCCCCCACGAGATCCCCGCGCCCGCATGCGGCGGGTCGTGCCCTTCGGCTGACCTCAGCCTCGCCTTACTGTAGTCTAACGCACACCTGCTGATCTCAGCACCGATCCACCCCTCGCCGTCCTACGCCAAAGCCACGATTGGGCGCGCATCATCTTATCGCCAACGCCGACCCCCTTTCGGGCCCCAGAGAGCGCCTGGCAACAATCGGCGGCGCGCCCCGGGGGGAAATGAGACGGGGCGGGCGCTCTCAGAAGGCCAGGACCCCCCCCAAACTTTTGAGAACTGTTCTACGCCTTCCCCGAGTCCGCAGAAAACGTCTCAGAAGGCCGGAGGCCTCTGAGAAACCCCGCCGCCTTCTGAGAAGGTGTTCTCTTTATCATTTCCCCCCCGCGATCGCCACTCAAGCAAAAGGCAGAACAAACACAAGCGTTCGACAGCACAGGCATCATATACCGAAACTCTTCGGGCACGCCTCGCCGACTCCGATGTTGCACCCAAGCGCTACCCAGGCTGCCCCCAGACGATACTAGGAGTTCCTGGGCGCTCCCATCGCTCCCCAAGCACTCCCAGGCTCGCCGTCGCCATCAGCAACAGCATCCACGCCCTCATCTTCAATGTCCTCATCGCCGCAAACAGCGTCAAGGAACAGACGAAAGAAATCGCGTTGACGTTTCAACGTGCTGAAAAGACCGACGCTACGGGAAGGGGTCGAAGCAGGAACCAGGGATGCCCCTAGATCGCCCCGAGACTGCCGAGCTGCACTCGGACAGCGAAGAGGATGCAGGACCGCACTGGCGCGATAAGAGGATAGGTCGATCTCATGGGAAAAGGCTCAGGGCGGGGGGGGAAGAGGAATGACCCGCGAAACCACGAGGTGAATATTATTCCTTAAATGATTCAAACCTGAAGCTGTGATCTGCCACGCTTTCTGATTTCCATCGAAGTTCTGAACCGTCACCATCCCTGCGCCCGCACACGGATCGTGCGCCTCCCGATTTCGCCCCCCCTCCGCCCCGCCCCCCGCGATCCCATAACAAAGAAGTGGTACCTAGCACGTCGACTCTGCTGAACCCACACGACCCTTTGCAAAATACACCATGCGGTGGACCTTCGCTGACATCCACAGCGACCCAACATCCATCATCCGCACCCTAAACTATCAATCGACGCACATCTACGGATTTTCTTATATTTTCTCACCCATCCAACCCTCACGATCAAACGCAACAAGTCTCATGTGGTGGATTTGGGCTGACCTTCTATGCGAAAAATGAATTTCGGTGCGCATCTGCTGATCTTCACACCCGCTCAACCCTCACGATCCCTCGGGGGAAAAAAAATATCCTGGCGAAGGTCCCAGCCATATGCAGTTGTGGGTATCGTAATACTGTGTGGGTGGTGTGCCGAATTGGGTTTCCGGAACGCATGCGGACGCTCCCACTGAGGGCTTCGGTGGAGCTCCCTATGGGGCCACGAAGCGCTCTACTGAGTGAATGAAAATGCCAAATTGGGTTTCTGGGATGCATGCGGACGGTCCCACTGGGGGCTTCGGTGGAGCCCCCTTATGGGGCCACGAAGCGCTGCACTGCGCGGGTGAAAATGCCAAATTACATTTCCCGGATGCATACGGTGGCACTGGGGCCTGTGGGGCCAATTTGGCATTTTTTGAAAATGCCAAATTGGGCTTCCGGGGCGCATGCGGACGGTAGCACTGGGACCTTCGGTGGAGCTCCCTATGGGGCCACGAAACGCTGTACTGGGTGTGCGGGACGCATGCGGACGGTACCACTGGGACCTTAGGTGGGGCTCCCTATGGGGCCACGAAGCGCTGTACTGGGTGGGTGAAACGCAGGGAGGAGGGGGAGGAGGGCCACGAAACGCTGCACTGGGTGTGCGGGACGCATGCGGACGGTGGAGGAGGAGGGGGAGGAGGAGGAGAGGAGGAGAACGCGGGGCGACATCTCTTCAAAACAAGGACCCAACACCACAGGATGGTCGGGAAAATGGTTGGGCAAAAACACAAAACTAAACCCTGTAGTGGACATCGGATGCTCTTCACAGCGCGCTGCCCGGTCCCCCAGACATTACCAAGCGCTCCCAGGCGCTCCAATCGCTCCCCGAGCGCCCACAAGCTTGCCGTCGTCACTAGCAGAAGCATCCACATCCTCATATTCACTGTCCCCGAAGCCACAGGAGGAGTCAAGGAGCAGATGAATCACATCGCGTTGACGCGCTCAATTTCTATTTTCTGGTGGGCCCCACCTCTGCGCCCCTCCACAACGAACCGCCAGGAGCACAGCGCGGCCCTGCTTAGTCAAGCCCCGTCTACTCCGGATGCCCTCCCGCCGCCGAGCGCGGTTACGACGGAACCAGAGATGCACCTCCAAGCCGAGCCGATGAAGCCGTAGCAGACCAGGAGACGCACAGGTACAGGACAGCGCCAATGACGGAATAACTGTAAAGAACACACCACTACGAATGCAAAACTAAACAAGGAATGTAACGCCGCCATCCGGAAATGGTCGACGGAAGCACAAGTCAATGCGCATCGACACACCATGGCAAAATGCACTGCTCAATTGATAATTGCAGATCGCTGGGGAAGCCGATCTTGTGGAAAGGCATGAAGGCAGGCAGGCAGGCAGACCGGCACGCCCCAAGATCGCCCCGAGACGGCGCAGCTGTGCTGAGAAGGTGCAGAGGAAGCAAAGCCACGCTAATGCGAGAAGAGGATATGTCGCTCTTATGGGAAGGGCTTAGGGCGGGGGGATTGATCCGCCCAAGCACTAGGTGACCCTAACCTCTAGCCCTAACCCTACGGTCAGCAACTGTTGCTTCGCGTGTCGCCGCGGCGGCCCCGGCGACACGCTATGCTCTGCGAGCGCATAGCGTGTCGCTCCGCTCCGCTGGGCCCGAGGCTCAGGACCGCTCGGAAACATGGCGCCTGGGGACCGCGACGTGGATAGCGTGTCCTGCCGAAGCGTGGTTGGCCAGAACCGGCGGAGCGAAGAAGTTGGCCAGAACCAACGGAGCCAAGATTCCTGACCGTAACCCCTCACCCGAATTCCAAACCCCTAACACCAACCCCTTACCCTGACCCTGACCCCTAACCCTAACAGTCAATTTTGACCCTCACCCAGACCGCGAATCCCAACCCCAAACCCTTACCCTCACCATTACCCCTAAACCCTACATTAACCCTTAACCGATAAACCTAACCCGCACCCCTAAACCGAACCCTAAACATCTAACCATGACCTCTAATCCGAAGTCGAACCCCGAAAAGGATAGAGAACAGCGGGCGCCGAGATCACGAAAAAATGGGACGCCGAACCTTGACTTTTGTCAAACAGCGGCCGACTTTGAACCTTTGTGTCCCAGAAGGCTTGCGCCTTACTTCCGCCTGCTTCCGCTGGCGGAGCCGCGCCTGCTGTCCTTCTGCTGAACTTCCGCCGAGGGCGAGATACGGCGAATGATAATGAATGTGAGACCCCCTCCAGAACGCCTTACTTTGCCTCACATGGCGCTTTTCAAATGGAATGAAGGGCAACGTTAGGGGGGGGCCCAGGGGGAAACATCGACCTGAATCGGCGATACATCGCCGATAGATCAGCAATTCTGAGGCCCCCGGAAACGAATCCACCCGTTCCTGGTCGGGGTGGGCTATCGGGCCCCTATCGGCGATCAGTGAGCGACATGGGGGGGGGGATAGGTTCAATGGGGGTTGCCAACCCCCACTGAGCCTATACCCCCCCATGTCGGTGCCCCCGGGTGTCGGTGTCACTGGCGGCCGGTCGGGGCGACTCGGGCAGTCCTGGACGCCTCTCGGCGAGGCGCAGCTGCTGGAGCACATGCCGAGGCTTGGAAACCACGGAGAACCAGCGAAAACGACCGAGAACATCCTCCTCCTCCTCTTCTTCCTCCTCCCCCTCCTCCTCTTCTTCCTCCTCCCCCTCCTCCTCTTCTTCCTCCTCCCCTCCGCCTGACCCCGCCCCCCCTGACGTTGCCCCTGACGAACCCAGCATTTTCTGAGGAGGGCTCTCCGGGAGGCCACTGGCAGAATCGCGCCCCTTTCTCCCCCTGAGCTCGAGGCCAGCGCCACGGTCACACCGTACATCGCCGCGGCCGTGTCGCGAGCGACCTGTCGGCGTCGTGGCGCTCGTCGCCGTCGTGGCTTGTCGGGGCAGAAGGAGCGGGACGGGCAGAGGGAGCAGGAGAGGAGGGGGGGGGGAATAGCAGCTGTTATATACATCCGAGTACGCAGTTCTTTCCAGTGCGCGGCCCGCGAGGTCCTGAACCCCTCCCCGGGAGGCAACTCGCCATCGCTCGGACGTCCATTCCCTGTGCTTTTTTCGGTTTCGTGGGTGGCTTTTTCGCCAAACGGTCGAGGATGTTCCTCGATGGTTCTCGCCGAAAAAAAATGCACACGTCCGAGCGATGCCAGGGTAATTCCCTGTTCGTCCCAGGTCCACTCTTGATGGCCCTGGGGACCGAGAAGGGGCCCCAGAAGCCTCTGGGGCGTCCAAGATTCTACAGTCGGGGCGTTGACCTAAGGAACCCTACATAAGGAACGGGGCCCCTTTCTCCCATAAGTTGAACTTCGATGTCCCATGAAAAAAACCTCAGGAAAACAGAAGGCAAGCTGTAGAACTATCAAGGAGCACCGAGCCCCTCCCCAACGAAAAGGGTTCCCTCTGCAGGGCCCTGGCTGTAGAGGGGGGCGTCCAAGAGGGGAACTCCCACATCATGGCCCAAGGCATGTGCGCGGACAAGGGGTGGACCAGGGGACGTGCTGACAGAACAAGAGAGTAAGAGGGGGACATGGGACCCCGGGAGATACCGTGGCCCCTCGGCCATCATATCCTCGCCTAACGAGGGGGAGGGCGAGAATGGCGAGGGGGAGGGCGAGGAGGTGAGCAGGAGGAGGAGGGTGAGGAGGGGGAGCGAAGAGGAGGGCGAGGAGGGGAGGGACGATGAGGGGGAGGACGACAGTTGCCGGCCGAGAGCTTCTGGGGAGGGGGGAGGGGGTGCAGCATTGAAGACCCTCTGCGGTTCATCCTCAACCCCCGCCCTCTGGACGCCCCCAGCAGAAGCCGAAACCGAGGAAAGCCTGCTGGGCCTCAGGAGAATCCCGTCGGAGACCCGGGTGCGACCGTCGGCCCCTCCCGGCCCGGCCGGCATCGGCCTCGCCGGACCTGGGGCCTCGGCGGCTTCCGGAGTCCTCGGAGGTACTCGAGGGCCTTCTGACCACCTACCAGGCCACCCCAACCTCATCCGAAGACCCAGATTTCAGAGTGGGGGGGAGGGGGCACGGGTTCCGCACGTGTGTTTCTCAGTGTCCCGCGACGCTCCCCGCCCACGTCCCCCCCCCCAAACTGGGAGTGGAGGGCAAATTCGGTCCTTCGGGTTCCAGTTCGGGCGTTGACCTAAGGAACCCTGAATAAGGAACGGGGCCCCTTTCTCCCATAAGTTGAACTTCGAATGGAAAACCTGAAGAAAACAAAAGGCAAACTGCAGAACAATCAAGGAGCACCGAGCCCCTCCCCAACGAAAAGGGTTCCTTCTTCAGGGCCCCGAGTGTAGGTTGGGTGGTTGCGAGCCAGCAAGTTCTGCAGATCCATGGTCGAGCACGTGAGGTCAGATCTTCGAGTCGGCCCTCCCCCTCAGGGGTCCGAGGTTGATGAGGCTTTGATGGTGGGAGGGGCCTTAGGGGTTTTGATGGGGCGAGTTCGCCCCTCGAGGCAAATGAGCACTCATTGGCTGGTGGGCAAGTTTGTCGCATGGTGGTGCGAGTCATCAACGGCGAGATGGGGGGACGGCAGAACCCAGGAGGGGGAGCAGAACCTGGACCTCCGACGACTCGATCTTTCGAATCGCCAGCTCTCGGACCTCTCGGCCCACTCCCCCGTGGACAACGTCCCGTCCCCAGACTGATGGGCCTGTTTTCCACCACCACCACCACCGTGAGCTGGAGGGAGGAAGGAGGTGGAGGAAGAGGACAAGGACGAGGAGGAGGAGGAGGAGGAGGAGGAGGTGGAGGTGCAGGAGGAGGAGGAGGAAGAGGAGGAGGACCTACTCCCCCTCCAACTTATGGTGGTGGTGGTGGTGGAAAACAGGCCCATCCCCGGGCCACTCGTGGCCCAAAGCCGTTTTATGACGGCCCCGCGGGGCCTGGAAGCGGCCCCCCGGACGCCGAAGGTGTTGCGGCACCTCGCCGCTCCGAGGAGGACAGGGTAGGTACCGGTACCGCTGCTCTTCTCTCGTGGTCGCCTTGCTGGGCCTTCTGGGACGCCCTCGCCGCCACAGCTGGAGAAATCCGGGTCTGAACGAACTCCTGGAGACAGTAGATGGACAATAGATTCGAACCCTGACACATGCGAGGGGTATTCTAAATCACCCCCGCGCCCCCGACATCAGTGTTGATCTCAGTAGAGGCGGTGCTGCGGGGTTCGACTATTTCTGCCCACTCACGCTCCCCCCGTCGCCACGCCATCAATACTAATTTCCGGGGGTGTGGGAGGGGGGGCATCTTGGGCCACAGGGTTCGACTGCAGTGTCCACGCGCGGGAGGTCGGAGGAGCGGCGGCATCGGCACCCCGTGGCTCCCGCTGCCACGATCCGCCCGAGTCGCCGGGGGGTCTGGGGAGGGCGCGGCGGCACCTCGCCTGCGCCATGCCCGGGCTTCGCGAGAAGAGGAGCTTGGCCGCCGCGTCGGGGACGACAAACTCCCGCACGGACTCGGGGAGGGGGGTGGGGGGGGGCAAGGGCAAAGCGGCGCAGGGGGCGGCCGGCGAAGGCGGGGAAGGCGGGGACAAAGAACGGGCGAGGAGCAACCAGAAGACGTCGTCGTCGTCGTCGTCGCCCGTCGTCGTCGTCGTCGTCGTCGTCGCCCGTCGGAGCAACAAGAAGATGGATGGATAAGCACAGCCTGATTGGGGAAAGGGCGCCCTTCTGAACAGGGCATGCCGTCGGATGGGGCACCCGAAAGCGGTCGACTCGGCCATCTTGGACTGGGTGGGCCATCGTGCTACCAGAAGGAAAGCACATTAAGGAGGAGTGAGCGGGTTTTTCTGGCCACGACGGGTCTAGGCTTAGGTCGGCCATGTCCTCCTACAGGGGGGTTTCGGACGAAACGTAAGAAATAATCAAACACAATTTTAGACGTGGCGAAAAAATCCGCCGATCCGGCGTGTGAGTTTCAAAGACCCTCAAAACAGCCTGAGCCTCAATTCCTGAGCTTCAGCTTTACTGGGGGGTGGGTGCCGGGGTGGCTCTGCCGGGGGTGGGGGGAGGGAGGGGGGTCGACTCGTCGATGTAATTCCCGGGTCGGAATCGAGTTCCAGCTCACTCTGGGACGGCCCCCTCGCCAAAGAGGGCCCCGACATGGGCCAAAAGGGCCCCGAGTCGCCGAACGATCGTTTCAAGACGCCCAAGATGATCCCAAGACGGCCCCAGGAGCCTCCAAGATGCCCTCAGAAGCCCTGAGAAAAAGGCAGCCCAGAGAAGGCCCCAAAGAGCAAAAAATGTGTCATTCCCTAGGGGAAACGTACAATTTTAGCATATTCGCCTCTGGGGCCTCCAGAGCGTCGCAAACGCCCCTAGAGAGCCCCAAAACGGCCCAAGAAGCCGCCAAGAGGGCTCCAAGACGGCCTCAGGACGGGCCCAAGAGGCGCCTGAGAGGGCGCCAAGACGGCGGAAAAAAGTGCCGAAGACGGTCCAAGAAGCCCCCAGCAGGACCCCAGAGGCCCCCAAGAAACCTGAAGAGGCCCCAAGACGCTTCCAACTGGCCCCGAAGAGGCCCCCTAAAGCCCTTCAACATCTAAAGGCCCCCAAGAGTTTCGGAAAACGCATCCAAGACGCACGCAGACAGCCCTAGCACAAAGCTTCACAGAGGGTGCGCCACATCGGCGAGGTGTCAACCCAAAGAGGGCCAACACCTGGCCCCAATGAGGCTTTCCAACAACCGCCGAATATCTCCAACAACCGCCGAAAATCTCCTCATCCTCGTCATGCGCCTCTTTCTCCCCCTCCCCCTGTTCCACTTCCCGCTTCCTCCTGCTCCTCCTCATCCTCAGCATCCTGCTACTCCTGCCCCCCCACCCCCACCCCCTCCACCTCATCATGATCCTCCTCCTCCTCCTCCTCCTCCTCCTCCTCCTCCTCCTCCTCCTCCTCCTCCTCCTCCTCCTCCTCCTCCTCCTCCTCCTCCCCATCCTCATCTCAACCCGTCGCCTCCATTCCCAATCCTCATCATCATATTCACAGCTCGCCGTCGTCGCCGGCCATGACCGCCATCGCGCGCTTCCGGCAACAACGGAAGCGTCCCTGATCCGCGGCATTAGCCGGGAGCCGCATACTCAAAACATCGTCCCTTCACTTTTTGTTGACTATGTTTCCCCAGTCAGTGCTTGCGCTGAAGGGGCCCTAGCGGAAGTTGACAGATTTGGCGAACATTTCCCGCCGAATTCGGTAGCAGGCTGGGTTCCCAGGTTCCCGGTTCCGGGTTCCCGGCTTCCCGGGCCATTGGTTCTGGGCCGATTTCGGTGGGTTCTGGGTTCCCGGGCTCCTGGGTTCCCGGTCGATCTCCTCAAACCATCCACTTGTTGGGGTTTTTCTCTGGTGAATTGAATATTCCTCCTGTAGAGGGACACGCCCGACTCAAGCCTATAAGCCACAAACAAGCTCTACGACACGAGTCTAAGGACCGGCCCGAGAGCCCGAGCCCCATCCTGAGCCCAACGCGGTCCCTATATAGCGTCCTGACTGCACTCGAGCCAGACCGGCTTGAGCCAGAGGCGACGATGGTGGCGAGTAGCCCAGGGGAGAACAACACATGTATTCAGGCGCGCCGATGATCTATGTCATCGAAAAGGTTCCCGGGCGAACACGTGCAATGCCCGCCCCTGGGCTATTCGCCCCTTATCGTCGCCGCCGATTGAGCCAAATCAGCAGGACCAGGGGCAGGAGCCCCGGCGAAAGCAGCGGCGGCGGCGGGAGGGGGAGCCGAAGCCGAAGCTCCACTGCGCATGATCCTCCCGAAGGCGCAGCCACGGACAACAATGGAAGCAACAATGGAAGAAGACAGACGACAAGCAATACCGCACAGGCAACTCCGACGGAGGGATCCCGCATCATAACCTGAATTATCCTTGCAACGCCAACGCTGGAAGGAGTGCGCGGGATGTTGTTAGGGATGTCGTTCGGAACGCAAGCAGCCAACGCGAATGCCGAGGGAGGGGGGGGGGGGGGCGGCGCAGGCGGGAAGCGAGGGCGCCAAGAAGGACAAGGGGGGATGATGGGGATAAGGGGGAGGAACGAGAAGGAAAGGGAGGAGGAGGAGGAGGAAGAGGAGGAGGAGGAGAAGGAGGAGGAGGGGGAGGAGGAGGAGGAGGAGGAGGAGGAGGAGGAGGAGGACGGGGAAACGTCGCCTGAGAGGGCGCGTCCGTCAGTGAGCCGCGCTACGGCACGCCAGCCCCGCCCGACAGATCTGCGGGCAGCTTCAGGGCTCAGCGAGCGGCGGCAACGGCGGTCGTCTGCTTGTTGTAAGACATCGGGATGTCGTAGTCCTTCGTCAGGTGGTATGTCCTGGTGGCCACGGAGAGCCTGGCTATGCTGTTCGGGATGCCGCTTTCGCCATGGAACGGCTCGGTCAGCTCGGGAAGGCCGAGCCTCGTCATGATGTTGGTGCTCAGCTGGCCGCGCGGTAAGCTCAGCAAGTGCCACATCCGTTCGCATATGAGGTAGTGCTGGATGCTGTCGTCAGCGTGCGGGCATCAGAAATGGCATGGGCGCTTGGTCGGGATCACGTGCATCTTGTGCGAGGTCGTCCACGCGCCCGTGAGGACCTTCAAGGCGCTCCACAGCCTGGAGGGCGGCAGAGTCGCGAGGTGGGTGCGGAGGCGCGTCCACCGAGCGGGGAGATCATCGGGAACTTGCTGGACTTGAAGGAGATCACGATGTGCGTCGGCGTCGGCAGGTGGGTCTTCGGCGCCCATGTCGTCGTCGTCGCGGTGAATGTCGTCAGGGTCGGCGTCGGGCTCCAGCAAACGCAGGATGTGGACGATCCAGCGGCGTCGGGCACGGTGTTGGGCGGCCTCGTAGCTGAGCGCCGAAGTACGACTGTGTGGCGATCGGCTGCGTGGCGACTCGCTCGGTGCTTCTGGGCGGGTCAGGCGGCACTCCAGGAGAATACGTCCAGGGCCGCTGGTGTCCCATGCCTGAATGCAAATGTCGACGGCGATGCGGCGTCGCTAGATGTCAGTGGTGTACAACGGCTGGAACAGGTCGGTGCCGAGCAGCTCGTACAAGTAGGCCTGATAAGTAAAAAAAATCGTGCGAGCCCCGCGATGGGCACTTCAATCGAAAAAAACAATGTGCAGCAGACGGGGGGGTCAACAATAATTGTTCTTCAGGAATGAAGATTTAACAACAACAATAACAGCAGCAGCAGCAGCAACAACAACACCACCACCACCAACAACAACAACAACAACAACAACTACAACTACAACTACAACTACAACAACAATACCACAACCAACAACAACGACACCACCAACAACACCAACAACAACACCACCAACCACAGCAAGAACCCGCACCGCGGAATCCCACCTCAGCCACGCAACTGGGGACAGTGAAGGACCGTTCGGCCCCCCTCACCCTGATATATACACACATATATATATACACAGAGAGAAGGGGAGACACACACACGTCCGAGGAACCCACCTACTTGTCCATCCCTTCTCTCGCTGCTCGCCTTCCCCCCCGCCATCTCCTCCCCGGGGATCCACGGCCCTCCGCGCCGGGCCGGGGACATAGCCTGGCGGCTGCCCTGCCAGGGGGGGGCCACCGCGGGCGCCCGCCGCGCGAGCTCTTCGGCGGCGGGGGTGTCGGGGGGGGGGGGGGGGGCGTTCGCACGAGGCGTGCGCAGCAGCAGGATCACGTCGGGCCTGTCCCCCGACAGGGGGATTTTCGACGAAAAATCAAAAAATACCCCAAACATGAAAAAAAAAAACAATAGTCAGGGGACTATCTTTTGCATATGTTTTGGCTTTTTCGGAGTATTTTTTGAATATATCTTATTTTTCGTCGAAAATCCCCCTGTAGGGGGACACGCCCGACTTAACAGCAGGATGGCTTTCCCGAGGGGGCCGGGGACCCACGGATGAGTACACAGACGCAGGTCCCAGGGATCCCCAGCTGTCTTCCAGAGTTTCTGGGGACTCGCCTTCCCCCCCTGCCCCACCTCCCAGACTTTTCCGTAATCTCCGGGGAATCGGCGATCATGTCTGTCCGTGCGTTTCTGTCCCCCCCTGACTTTCTTTGGTCATCTCATGCTCTCCGGGGCCGCATTGGCCACCCAACTTCTCAGGGACGTGCGCAGCAGCAGGATGGCTGTTCTTTGGTCGTCTCGTGCTCCCTGGGGCCGCAGTGGCCGCCCAGCTTCTCACGAAACCGAAAGAAAGGAAGACGGGAGGGCTCCGAAGTCTCCGAGCCGTCCTGACCCAGCCCCCAGCCTGAAGGCAGGCTTGGGCAGGGCGTACGCATGCGCCGCGCGCATGCCACAAGCAGGAGGAGCAAGATGGGGGGGGGTAGGACGAAGGGGAGGATGTGGAGGTGGGCGAGGAGGGAGAGGACGAGGAAGAAAACGAGAATGATGAAGCAGAGGTGAGAGGAGGGAGGAGGAGAAATACGAGGAGGAGGGCGAAGAGGAGGATCATTTCTTTGAAGTCCGCAGCCTCAGAGCCCCTCAGACGGGGGCAAAAACAGACTCGAGATATCGGCACAGACCCCGACCCTCTTGTGAGCAGGGCGGATACCCTTTGCCCGTCCTCGGCAGGACGAGGAGGACGGGGAAGGGAAGGCGGAGGAGAAGAGACGAGAGGGAGGCGAAGAGGAAGAGGAAGAGGAAGAGGAAGAGGAAGAGGAAGATGATGATGATGATGATGATGATGATGATGATGATGATGATGATGATGATGATGATGATGATGATGATGATGATGATGATGATGATGATGATGATGATGATGATGATGATGCTGATGATGATGATGATGATGATGATGATGATGAGAGGAGGATGAGGAGGAGCTGGAGGAGCTGGAGGAAGAGGAGGAAGAAAAGGAGCTGGAGGAGGAGGAGGAGGAGGAGGAGGAGGAATAGACGCAAGGTGAGCACGAGGAAGCAAGGAGAAGCCTCGCCATCGCGCGGGCGTTGCTTCCCCCTGCATTTTTGCGTTCTCATGCGCGCTGATTTCTTGCGCGAGATGACCCAAGATGCTCCTCGATGGTCCTCGCCGAGGCATAATAACGCACACCTCCGAGCCTCCGAGCGATGCCGAGGGGAGGAAGAGGAAATGACGCAAGATGAACAGGAGGAGCAGGAGGAGAAGGACCGGCGGTGGACAAACCTCCCTTTCGTGAACCACCCTCTAGTGAAAACGGCCCGGGACCGAAACCGACGGACCTGGACCCGCAGAACGGCCAATTCGCTAATCGACGTGTCAGGGTAGGATTAGGTCGGGCGTGTCCCCCCTAAGGGGGATTTTGGGCGAAAAAAGAAATACTCAAAACATACCTCCCAAAAGCTAAAAAATATAAGAACATCGTCACCAGACTATATTTTTTCGACCATCTTTGAATATTCCTCCTGTAGAGGGGCACGCCCGACTGAAGGGCAGGAGGCCTATAGCACCCTCCGAAAAGGACCTAGCACCTTAAGGCCCAACATGTGGTTCAGAAAATGCGAAGAAACACGGCGTTCGAAGATTTACCAAACGTCGAACGCGAAGCCCTACGATAGTACAAATCGGTTTTGGCCTGTGCTATCTCAAGGCGACCGAGTATAGCGATCCCCGAAAAAGGACCGGGAGGAGAGGCGCCGGAGAGGCCGCTGCGCGCAGCGAGGCGCTCGCGCGCGCCTGTGGGGGGCAGCGGGCGCCCGGCGCCGGCCGCGCAGCATGCAGCTCTCGCCCGCATGCCCCCCCCCCCCCGCCCCCGTGGCAAGGCGGGAGGGGCCCTGGGACACACAAATAGATGGGCACGAATCACAGGATTCCCAATATGTCTTCCCATGTTCTCTGGGCTTTCGTCTTCGCCCCCCCTTCCCATATATTGTCCCACACTTTCTGGGGGATCGACGATGGATTGTGTCTGTGTGTTTGTTCCCCCCAGGCAAGGTCCGCAGCACGCTGGCGGGGGGCTGCCAACGACGGCGTGTCTTGAGCATTAAGGGCCGACCGTCCTGGCATGCCTGTGGGCCTACCACGAAGTGTTCTTCGAACCCAAAAATGTTCCAATAACAAGAAACAATGTTCTCAGAACATGAGCCCGATGCGTGAAAACACGACAGTCTCAGCCAGAAATGTTCTAAGAGCATCTCGTGCAGACCATAAAAGGTTCTTAGAACATTCTTTGGTGGGCCTATAGGCACGGCAGGACGCTTCGCCACTGCTTGAGTGTCGCTGACACTCTTCTTCCCCCTCGCCACCGCTCGGAGGTCCATTCCCTGTGCATGTGTCGGTTTCGTGCGTGCTTTTCCCCAAGCAGTGCTTGCACTGACGGGTCCTGGCGGAAATTGACGGATTTGGCGAAAGATTCCCGCCGATCTTGGTGGCCGGCTGGGTTCCGGGTTCCCGGTTCCGGGTTCCCGGGTTCCTGGTTATCGGTTCTGGGCCGATTTCGGTGGGCTCCCGGTTCCTGGGTTCCCGGTCGATCTCCTTATCGATCAAACCATCCACTGATTGGGATTTTCTCTGGTGTAATTGTTTCGCAGGGTGACCCAAAATGCCCCTCGATGGTCCTTGCCGAGGTAAGGCATGCCCGAGCGATGCCAAGCCCCTCCCGACCCATCCTCGCGGCATTCACCGCGGCCCGCTGGCTGGCCTTGGCGATCTTCTCCTTCACCTCCGCCGCAGCCATCTCTGCCTCCAGGAGATGGAAATAGGCGAACCAAAAGTGGCATAAACATAAAAACTCGGAGGTCCGCGCGGATTTCTCGGATCGGCGCTGGGCCCAACCGGCGGCGCCTCCGGCGCCGCCCCTGGCGCGCTCCGCGCGCAACTCCTCCTCCTCCTCCTCCTCCTCCTCCCTCCTCCTCCTCCTCCTCTCCTCCTTCCTCCTCACTCCGCCTCCTCCTCCTCCTCCTCTCCTCCTCCTCCCACCCCTCCTCCTCCTCCTCCTCCTCCTCCTCCTCCTCCTCCTCCTCCTCCTCCTCCTCACTCCTCACTCCTCACTCTCCTCCTCATCCTCACTCCTCACTCCTCCACTCCTCCTCCTCCTCTCTCCTCCTCCTCCTCCCTCCTCCTCCTCTCCTCCTCCTCCTCCTCCCTCCTCCTCCTGGTCCTCCTCCTCCTCCTCCTCCTCCTCCTCCTCCTCCTCCTCCTTCCCCACTGACTGGGGCCGCGGGTGAGGGCAACTGGGGCACCCAGTGACGGACCGCGCGACGAGGTCTCTGCGGACTCTGAGGCCACCGCGCGGCCCATGAGTCGCCACACCTCTCCGGGACCCCTGGCGGGCGCGCGAGGCCTGCGGAGCATGCGCGCAGGGCGAGGTCGGCGGCGCCGACCCGAGAAGTCCGCGCGGACCTCGGAGGGGTAGCGTGCGCGCCGCTGCTTTGGCGCCTCGAGCCTCGGCCCGCGACCTGCCGGAGATCTCCACGCACATCGTCTCGCCTGCGGGGCGGGGGCTGCGCGGTTTCCCCCGGGGCCGTAGGCGACCCGAGGAGGAGGAGGAGGAGGAGGAGGAGGAGGAGGAGGGGGAGGAGGAGGAGGAGGAGGAGGAGGAGGAGGGAGGGAGAGGATGAGGAGGAGGAGGAGGAGAGGAGGAGGAGGAGGAGGAGGAGAAGGAGGAGGAGGAGGAGGAGGGGGAGGAGGGGGAGGAGGAGGAGGAGGAGGGGAGGAGGGGAGGAGGAGGAGGAGGAGGAGGAGGAGGAGGGGGAGGAGGAGGAGGAGAGGAGGAGGAGGAGGAGGAGGAGGAGGGGAGGAGGAGGAGAGGAGGAGGAGGGGAGAGGACAGGAGGAGGAGGGGGAGGAGGGGGAGAGGGAGGAGGGAGGAGGAGAGGAGGAGGAGGAGGAGGAGGAGGAGGAAGGAAGGAGGGAGGGAGGGAGGGAGGGAGGGAGGGAGGGAGGGAGGGAGGGGAGGAGGGAGGAGGGAGGGCGGAAGGAGGAGGAGGAGGAGGAGGAGGAGGAGGAGGAGGAGGAGGGAGGAGGAGGAGGAGGAGGAGGAGAGGAGGAGGAGGAGGAGGAGGACTTCCGCTGGGACCCCTTCAGTGCAAGCACCGCTTGGGGAAACATCCCGAGGCCCGCGCGGACTTCCCAGAGCTCGGCGCTGGACCTGGACCTCCCGTACATGGACATTAGATTCGAACCCTGTGGCCCAAGATGCCCCCCAGACCCCCCGAAATTACTATTGATGCCGTGGCGACGGGGGGGGGGCGTGAGTGGACAGAACTATTCGAACCCCAAAACACCGCCTTTACTGAGATCAACATTGATGTCGGGGGCGCGGGGGTGATTTAGAATCTCTCTCGGATGTGTAAGGGTTCGAATATATTGTCCATCTACCCCCCCGGGCGCGGGGCCCCCCGGCCCCCCCGCCGGTGCTCCGTCCCGCGCGCGCCCTGTCTCCGAGGCTGCCCGGGCTCGACGGCCGGGAGCGACGGCCCTCTGGGTGCTCGCCGCCTCCTCCGCCGCTTGCCTCGTCCTTCCTCTTGCTCGCAGCTTTTCCTCCCCCTCCTCCTACTCGCAGCTTTTCCTCCCCCTCCTCCTACTCCCTCCTCCTCCTCCTCCTCCTCCTCCTCCTCCTCCTCCTCCTCCTCCTCGTCCTCCTCCTCCTCGTCCTCCTCCTCCTCCTCCTCCTCCTCCTCCTCCTCCTCCTCCTTCCTTACCCTCCTCCCCCTTCCTCCCCCAGGTTTGTTTTTGTTCTGGCGCCTTTTTTGTAACTGGGGGGGTCCGGTTTAGTAGGGCTCTTTCTTTGGATTTGAGCTTAGGTGGTCCGGTTTATTAAGGCGCCCCGCCGAAGAGGGGGTCCGGAATAGTAGGTCGCATTTGAAGGGGGGTCAGGCTTTTCAGGGGGTCGGTCGATGAACCAGGGACTTGAAATACGTCCTCCTCCCCTCTCCTCCGCCATCCTCGCCCGCATGGGGCCCAAAAGGCCTTCCGAAGGCTCACACCGGCTGCGGCGCAAAAAACAAAAAACAAAAAAGGCGGCACGCCGATCGAACGCCGATCTCAGAAAGTCTGGGTATGAGTAAGTCTGAGTGTGAGTCAGTCTGTCTATGACTAAGTCTGGGTATGAGGAGGAGAAGGGGAGGAGAGAGGGAGAAGAAGGAGGAGAAGTCGGCGGCGCCCAAGCAGTAACACGAACCCCATCTTAGGATATAGGGGAAAAGTAGGCGGCACGCCGATCGGACGCCGATGTCCGAGAGCCGTGCCCCAGGCTCGTCCTCCTATACAGCACGGGGGACGTGCCGCGGGCCCCGAGGGAGGCGGGGCCACTGAGCCCCCAGGCCTGCCCCCGGGGGCCGCTCGCGCGCTGCTGCGTCGTCGTGCCCGACGGTCCTGCAGGACCCGTCGCCTGAGGGCCCCGCCAAAAAGGCCCGAGGGCGGCGGCCACAAAAAAGCCTCGGGGCACGCGGCCCCCCTGGAGGCCGGCGGCGAACACCTCGGGGCACGGCAAGGCCTCCTCCGAGCCTCCTCCTGCTGCTGCTGCTGCTGCTCCTGCTCCTGCTCCTCCTCCTCCTCCTCCTGCTCCTTCTGAGGCTGCTGCTCTCGATGTGATTGCTTGTTTGGGGGGCCCTTGGTGCTCTCCCCGCTCCCTCGGAGGCAGGGCACCCCGCCTGGGGCGATCCTTCTTCGACGCTCGGGGGGAGCGAAGGGGGGGATACGGGCCTCGGAAGCAGTTAGCGCGAACACTCGTATGCCACACTTGTTTGTCAACGTCCCCCGCCCCCCCCCCCAATGAGCCATGTTGGCGGTGGGCTGGATGAGCTGCACTCCGACCGTAATCTTCCCCGCGGGTGCCACTTCTGACTTTCGGGGGGCGGGGGAATGTTCACTGACTGTTTCGCTCTGCCGTAGCAAAGGGTAGGGTAGATAATCAGCTCGCGTAGCTGATTTCCCCGGCGCCTCCCAGCGCCCGGAGGCGCCCATGTATCGAGGAATGGACCTGGCGGCGGGGCCGAAGCCAGCTGCACGCAGCAGATTTCGTACCCCCCCCCAATTTCCTTATCCCCCCCTTTCGTTCGGCCCGAGACACCGACCCGTCCTCTTCCCAGCATGACGGCAGTGGGTCCTGCAGGCACGGGGTCCTGGAAACTGCTCGCTGGTTCTCTGCCCCCTTGAGCTTTCGCACCACGGGCCCCAAGGGCAGTCGGAAACGCTTCGGGATGAAGCGCTGGTCCTGGGACCCCCCCTAGGTCTATGGGGAAACCAACACTTACCGATACCGATGCTCCCTGGGCCTCTCCTGGGGCGAGCCCCGACCAGGATCTCGAAGCGAACCCAGCCATGGCGACGAGGGCCTCCAGGCCACAAAAAGCTGCAGGCGACGCAAGGGCAGCCGTATCGGCACCGCTTCCCCCTCCGAGTCCAGGACACCTTTCGCATAGCGACTCTGCCCCAGGACACACAAATAAATACACACAAATAAAAACATTCCCCATATTTTCCATATTTTCTGGGTTTCTGTCTTCCCCCCCACTTCCCATATTTTCATATATTTTCTTGGGAATCGACAATTAATTGTGTCTGTGTGTTTTTTTTCCCTTCTGACTCTTCCCCCTACTCCACACTATCCGTCTGCGTCCGCTGGTCGCCGTCCACGTCCGAAATCTTGACATCCACCCCGTACCTTGATGTCAACCCGTGGACGGTGCCGGTGCACTTCTCGGCGGGCAGCTTCGGGATCCGCGGCCCCCGGCGCGGGGGATGACCCTGAGAACCCCTGACCGCCAACAATAGCATGACACTTTCAGCCGCGGCGATTTTTCCGGGGCTTCCGCATCCGAAGGCCCGTGCTCGGGCCAAGATCGGGGGCGCGCAAACATGGATTAGCGATCCATGGATTTAGCGCGCGGTCGCCTATAATCCATGGTTCGGGGGAGGTGCTCTCCCCTGAAATGCGGCCGGTGCCGCCTCGCTCGGCGGCGGAACGCTGCGGTTCCCTACGGAAGCGGGGCCCGTCGCTGATCCACGCCCCCTTTGATCCATGCCTGCGATCGCCTGACAAGAGGGACGTCAAACATTGATCCAGGACAACAGACTTGAGCAGGGACCGACCGTCCCGGCATGCCCATAATTAGTCCTACCACGAAATGTCCTTAGAACCCCAAAATGTTCTAATAACCAAAACAATGTTCTTGGAACACCAACCCGATGTGCTAAAACAAGACAGACTCCGCCAGAAATGCCCCAAGAACATCTCGTGGAAGCCACAAAAGATCCTTAGAACAATGCTTGGCAGGGCTACAGGCGAGCCGGGACGCTCCGCCACTGCTTGCCAGACTGTCCCCAAGGAAGAAGCCGGCGGAGGGCTGCGAGGACACCTCGTCGGACGCCCGCGCCCCGGCGCCCCCCCCCCCCGCACCTCGCCATCGCTCGGACGTCCATTCTCTGTGTTTTTTTCGGCCTCGTGCGTGGTTTTTTCGCCAATTGATCAAGGATGCTCCTGGAGGGTCCTCGCCGAGAAAAAAATGCCCACGTCCGAGCGATGCCAGGGCACTACTCTCACCGGGCAGGGCCCGCCCGCCCGGGACGTGGGCCCCATATATTGGGCCCTCGCGGGTCGATGCGCCGAAGAGTGCCAGGGACGGATTGGGGGGGGCCTCCTCCTCCTCCTCCTCCTCCTCCTCCTCCTCCTCCTCCTCCTTCTCGTCCTCCTCCTCCTCCTCCTCCTCCTCCTTCTTCTCCTCCTTCTCGTCGTCCTCCTCCTCCTCCTCCTCCTCCTCCTCCTCCTCCTCCTCCTCCTCATCTTCCTCCCTCCCTCCTTACTTCGGCCTCCGAGGCACGAGCGCTCACCCTCCCGGCACGAGCCTCGGAGCGCGGCTGCTCAAGATTGCCGGCCTCGAGCGTAGCCCTATCCCTAAGATTGGCACGCCAAAAGGCGAGGACAATCTTAGGGATCCGCCCCGCCCTCAGAAGACAAGGGAATCCCTGATATTGGCATCGTGATGAGGAGGTGCCCAGCACAGGCATAGGGATATGTTCCAGGCTGGTAACACGATGTTGTATCGGGGATCTTCTGACCCAGGTCAATCCAGACCCGGGTCAGCAGGAAACCCAAAGACCGCAGTGCAGGAAAAAAAACTGCAGCGCAGGTCTTCGTAAACCCGGGTCGGCCAATATGCGCGGCCGCCTCGCGGCCACGAGCGGCTCGCTAACCCGCGTCAGCCAGAGGGGGTCTCCGCAGGATCCTGCAGGATCTGGTGCCCTGGCTGACCCCCATTTGCATTGACCCCCGTCTCTTGAGCCCCGATTGTATTCTGCTCGCGACACCAGCCGCCGGGGATCTCGACGCAGACTTCGGGGGGCAACGTTTCGACGGCCCCGGGGGCCAGAAGCGGTAGCCGGAGGCCGAAAAAGGCACATGACACTAGTCCTCGCGACTTCCTGCGACGCCCAAATCGTGAGGGAGGACAAGGAAAATTAATTCCGTTTTCTCTTCCCCGCGGGCCAGACCTCAGAGAGGCACAGCCCAATCGTGAGGGAGGACACGGAGGATTCATTCCGTTTTCTCTTCCCCGCGGGCCAGACCTCAGAGAGGCACAGGTGACGAACACAGGGGAAGCCTTGCTCTCCGTGGTCAGGTTCCTCCGCCTCTGAAGCCAGGTCTGGAGGAGGCCGCTTCGGCACAAAGGGGCGGGAGAAGAGGCAAGCGCAACACGGTGGGAGGGAGGCAAGGAGGAGGAGGAGGAGGAGGAGGAGGAGGAGGAATAGGAGAAGGAGGTAGAGCATGCCCACAGGGAGTCTGTGAGATGGCAAACACGGCAAATCTGCACCTCGTGCCGAGGGATTGGCCGAGGGGTGACTGCAAGCGGAGCCACCGAGAAGACCAGGAAAAGGAAGAGAAAGTAGAGCATGTAGCCGAGGAACACGAAGGGCGAATCAATTAGGAAAATGTCAGCGCTTTCCTACTCAATTATAGGCCAGGTTCAGGGATAGGCAAGACAAGGCCCTGAAAGGAAGCCGCCATCAGCTGTCCCTGAATCTGCCCCGCTAGGTCGTCGAATCTTCCATGATTAATCGGGCGAGCAGTCGGCGAGATCCTCGCGGGGCCGCTCGAATCAGCCACGGTGCTGTCCGCGCGCACATGGGCCTCCCGCTCCGCAGACGGCCGGGGAATGCGGCCATCAGGGCGACTGGAAGCGCAATGTCGCCTGAAGCACCTCTGCTCATACCGGCACAATCGGGACTGGGGAGAGGCAGGCGGCGGTGGCGGTGCAGTCTCCGACTCACCGGGGCGAAGCGCTCCCACAACGCCAGGAGAGCGGCCACGAGCAGGTTGAGACGAAAGAGCCTGCGATGGCGGTGCAGCCGATTCGTTTCTGGAGATCCTATCCTTCAACTCCTCAGTACGCCCCTCCAATAACGAGTGCTTGCTAGCAGCAAGCTCTTGTAATGCTGTCAATATGGGGCAGAGTACAATTGGTCATCACCTCTGGAAGCTGAGCAAGTTTGTAGATGGAAATTGAAGGACGAACATTTTTGTTCAGCATAGTCGGCAACCGAGAAGAAACGATTTTCTCAACGGAATCAACTAGAGCGTCGAACATTTCGCGAACAGCTTGGTGTACAGATTCCCGTGCACGCTGGCCCACTTCCAAGATCTGGGCATTCGTGTACACTTTAGCCGAGTCGAGCTGCTTCTCGCCAAAGGTACATGCGTCTTCCGAGGAGGGAGCCGAGGAAGCTGCGGATGCCTCCGAATCCGAAGGAGGAACAGAGGATGCAGATGACCCATCCGCCTTCTCCACAGTACCCTTGAGCAACGCAATCGTGGATGTGCTGTAGGACGCCAACTGCCCGTCATTTACACGGCTTGAGAAGTCGCATCGCACGACCAGCAGCAGCAAAAAGGATACGACTGGCGTCATCCGTACTCGCATACCCGCCAACCCGATAGTGAACAGCTCCCACGCAGAAATCAGACATAACATCAAACCAAAACGCACCATGCCAAAGCTCGCTTGAGCCGCAAATCCACCCAACAAAAAAACGTCTTGAGCCGCAATGGCGACGGAGGAGGAAGAAGAGGGATAGGAGGGGGAAGGAGCTGGAGGAGGCCGACGAAGACGGGCAGGACAGGGAAGATGTGGATAAGGATGGACGAAGAGGAAAGAAGCTAACGAGACTCAAAAAGAAGAGGCGGCCAACTCATGGTCGTGCCCCTTCCGTCACCTGCACAGAGAGGCATGCCGATCCATCCCCTGGTGGAGGCGGTGCGTCGTTAAGGCTTACTGAACGGTCATGATGAACGTGCAGCCGCCCTGGGGACGGACAGTGCAGGTCATGAAGGACAGGGTAACATAATGGCGGATCCTCCTCCTCCTCCTCCTCCGCCTCCTCCTCCTCCGCCTCCTCCTCCTCCTTCTCCTCCCCCTCCCCCTCCTCCCCCTCCCCCCCCTCCTGCC